ACACACACACACACACACACACACACACACACACACACACACACACACACATACATACACACACATACACACACATACACACACACATACACTCACACTCAAATACTCACACACATACACACACAAACATACTCACATCTTTGTTTCTTTTGTGTGTGTTTAATATACATAGATAATACAACATTGTATATAGTATACATGTATGTAGCATAATATTAAGATATTTCATTTGTTATAATGTAATAAGAAATGTTGATGATGTATATGAGTGGCTTAGTGAGTATCTTGTTTTTCTTTAATCAGAAAAGGATAGTGGTGAGTCGTTTGCCGGTGTTTTTATATCCAGTAAATAAAGAATTCGTCAAGAAAAAAAAATCAATTTTTGAAAGGTGCGAAATGTTTTGGGGGTTTTTAACCGATGGTCCCTTTGACTGCAACTGGGGTCGTATCCGCGTCTGTTTACAAAGCCCTTTCCCAGAATTACCTGAAAGAACTTTGTGTGGGATAAGAGGAAAACTCACAAAAGACCCCTCCAATAGAATTTTCAAGTTCATGTCAAGAACAAACAGTCGGTATTTTACTGTATTTGGATGACGTGGCGGAGACAAGCGTTGACTGATTGATCAGTGTGAGTATCTTCCTGAGTAACTGACTCAGTAAGTTGGTGTGCCTAACACGCTATTGTCAATATACATGTACTATAAATCATCGTCGTTGCCGTTCTCACACTTCACCATGATATAGGCCACGGACAAACACGTTCCCCATTTCTCTATCCTGGGCTAGCCTCTTGGTGTTATTCCATGTCTTCCCACTTTTCTGCACATCAGTATCTGCCAATATGAAGAAGAACGGTGATAGTAAACATACCTGTCTCACACCAGTCTTGATGTCAAAGTTGTCAGTGAGCTGGCCATCATGTACAACCTTGCAACTTGTCTCTTCGTATATATGCTCTTGATGAGGTTCACCAAATTCTGTGGGATTCCGTGATGTCTCATTATCTCCCATAGTGTTGCTCGGTCTATACTGTCAAAGGCATTCTCATAGCCAAGGAAGTTGACGATCTGCTGGGAGTTCCACTCCACGGACTGTTCCACAATGATCCTCAGGGTGGCAATCTGGTTGGTGGTTGAACGATTTTTCCGGAAACGAGCCTGTTCATCCCGTAGTCTTGGATTCGTTCTTGTCTTGATTCTCTCCAGAATGATTCTGTTGAAGACCTTGCCTAGTATTGAGAGAAGAGTGATCCCTCTGTAGTTGCTGCAGCTGCTGAAATCCCCCTTTTTTGGAAGCTTCACAAGGTGTCCTTCTTTCCAATCCTTTGGGAACTTGCTCTCATTCCAGATCCTGGCAAACAGTGTGAAGATGAGGTCTGCCGTCATATTGGCATCTGCTTTTAGTGCTTCAGGTGGAATCTGATCTGGACAAGCCACTTTACCTTTGTTCAGCTTCTTGATAAATGTAAATAAATGTACATAAACATTGTTGAAAATGTTGGTGCTTTATGGGGGAGGGGGTGCTTTTTTATGATTTCGGGGGTGGGGGGATTTATTACTATCCCTAAATCTCATCAGTTAATGTACACACACACACATACACACACACACACACACACACACACACACACACCA